GCAAGGCCAGCGGCTCCTCCATCAAAGTATCGTCTTGGCGCCAAAACATCAAGCTGGCCTCGGCCTCAAGCCGGCGCTTGTTACGTGGTCAGCGCGTCACCGTGGCCACTCGCTACGCTACATGCAGGCCGCGCTCACGACGTCCCCGGTTCCGGCCTGGTCGTCGCCAAGCATGGCTGTCGTTGCCAACGCCTTCGCGCCGTGGGGCAACTTTGCCGACCTCGCCTTTGCCGACCCGTCGCTGCCCCGGATCCGGCGCCTGCTTACGTCAAAGGCAGTGCCCGACCGGTTCAAGTTCATGCTCAAGTACTGGTTCGACATTTGCGTGGAGCCAAGCACGCATCCGGCGCCGTCGCCGCTGGTCCATGAACAACCGCTTTGGTCCAACCAGTTTCTCCCGGTAAATAGCTGTAGTTACATAGAAAAGACCACAAGATGGCACACTTGGTGACCTTGTGGAGTCGAACCAGCCATGGCGGCTTGGGAGTCGGGCTGGGCACGGGGCCACACGTGAAGGCGTCTACCGTCGTAGCGAGCCAGCCGAGCCACTTGTCGTTCGGTATCACGTGTGGGCCGAGGTCGCGGCCGCGGCACTTTGTCGTCACCGCGTGGATGAGGCGTTGAGTTCTTGTCGCGAGCGTCTCCGTCGGGGCGGCGGCGAACATCAAGGCGTGGACGTGCTGGGCTTGAGTGATCCCGATCTTGGCCATCGTCCGGGCGTACCGAGTGTGCCACAAATGACGAAACTGTCACGGATCGGAAAGGGACGTTTAAATTCTGCCGCCACACCGCCGCGCGGACCCCAGATGCTGCGTTGGGCAGTCGTCGCATGCTAGGTTCTCTTCTCAACATGGTGCGTAGCGCAGACATGCGAGCTCTCGACGCAGGTGACGAAAGCGCCTGGTACACCGTCTCCCGTCTCCAGGTGTGCAAGAAGACGTGAGGTACACTCCGCGACCGAAGTCCGCAGAGCGGCAACTATGCCGACGGCGTGCACTGCCACTGGCAGATCAAGACACCGACGAATAGCACAATCGTGAGCCTCACCTTCTCGCTCCTCAACTTGAACGCGTGGTGCTTGTGAACCTCGGGCTCAACGCCCCCAAGCCGACGGGGTGGGAACTCTACACCAGCAAGAGCGTGCTTGCGGGCACCGACAACATCAGAACGTACGACTATGCGTCGTCGACGACGCCGTCCGTCGATACGTGCGCGACACAGCAAGGAGGACAGTTTGACCCGTCGGTTTGCAACGTCGCCGACGGCTCCAATATCAAAAAATTGGCTCGCAACGGGTCGTGGTGCTATTTTATCGGGTCGAGTGACGCGGCCATCAATATGCAAACGACGGCCCATGATGTCTATATCATCTACCGTTCGTTTCTCAAGGACGGC